GGCAGGGACTATGATCTTTTTATTGTCAACAGACTGTAGTTTCTGTTTCAAAAAAAAAAAAATCCTCAGCATTTGGGGTTTATTTTCATCTTCTTTAGTTTTGTCAGACATAGATGGAAATTGCACTACTGAGTTACCTGTATAAATTTCTATACTGACATGTTTATACTCCCTTGTTCGGAACGCTTTCACACTGGGGTGAGTGTGATTCTTGAAATGGAAGCCTTGCTTCGTCAGTTGTCATCTTCTTCCTCCTGTGGAGGACTGAAGGGCTTCTAAATGAGTGTGAAATTTAATGCAGGCTCTCACTGTCTGGATAGGACCCAAAATTTAGTGGTTTGGACTAGAACTGGGATCACTCACGAGCCTCGCTCCCTCTCCTGCCTCTCCCCAGCTGTTCTGTGTGCAGGTGGCTGGACCCAGGGACCCAGGGACACTGGTGAAGCTGCTACTTAGCTCAGGGTGGAGAGCAGGGAGAGGAACAGAGGCAGCCTCTTCTGGACCCTTCGAAACTATCCTTGCAGGCCCTGGCAGCGTCCCTTTGCACAGAGCTGCTCTGTGTGCTAAGGACACGTCGTCACAGGGGAAGTCTGTGCCCTGGGATCTCCCTCCAGGAAGGGATGAAGCAGCGAACCTGGGAGAGGGAGAGGCTGCCATTGTTGGAATGGAGACAGGCCAGGGACACCCTCCTGGCAGGTGCCCACTAGGCCTCACAGAGAACCATACCAACCGCCTCTTGGCCTCCAAGGCCCAGAAACAGCTCTGGTGACCCCGGGCCCTGCCCTGCCATCTTCTCAGAAACAGTGTCCCCCACTCCTCACTCCAGCCCCTCCACCATTTGCAAGCCTTCCTGCTGCCTCCACTTTCTCCTCGGGGCTCCTCCCTCCCTCAGTGTTTGCTCGCCTTGTCCCCTCCAGGGCTGCTCCCAGTCAGGACGGCCACTACCCACAAGAAGGCTGGACGTGGAGTTCCCACAGGCAGGGGCCACAGTTTTGACTTCAAGCTAGCCTCCATTTTGGCACTTTTTGTCAAAAAAAAATTTTTTTTTTCCGTTGAAGTGAGACTTTTAAGAGGTTCCAGTTCTAAGGTTTCTACATTTTAATGGCCACAAGTTCTGCTTCCTTTTCTTTTATGTTTATCTGCCACAAGGGACCATAGCAGAAACGGTGCCGGACAGACTCAGGAGACCTGGGGCCTAGGCTGAGTGACCTTGGGCAAGTCACTCCCCTCACTCCCCACTCCAAGGCCCCTTTTCCACATCCCTGATTTATGAAGGGGTTAGTCTAGACCAGAGATCATCAACCATCTTTGATCATGCCTCCCCAGCAATAAAAAAAAATGGGGAGCATGTACCCATAATATGTGTATATTCAACCTGTCCTTTTACTACAATACCAGTATGTTATGATATGAACATGCAAAATAAAACATTTTAAAGCTAAATATCATATAAACTGAATACACATAAATACTTTAAAAATAGATTTCCTTTCATTTATAGAACAAAATTTTCTCATCTCACCATTGTATTGTTGGTTTGTAACTAATAAGATTAGAGTAAGGGAAAGCAGTCTGGCTGGATGTACTTCATTATTTTTTAAAATCTTCCTTTAACACTTTGAGATTGAGCCGAACATTCAGGGGTCTGGTTCTAGTTGAGTCTATTTTTAGTGGTTGTCCTAGCTGGTCCAAAGAGAAGAAATGTATCTTTGGCTGCATGTATTAAATTACGGCCCTCGTTTTCAATCCCATCCACCAATTAAAGGCTTTTTATTGAAATGAAGCTCGACGATGTCCATCTTCCCTTATGTCAGTCAGTGGCTCTTACAAGCTAATTGGAAAAACACTGCATTTTTGTATTTTTAACAAATGGACTCAGCATCCACTGACACTCTCCATTTGGATGATTTTCAAACAGATTAGAAAAATCTGTTTCTAATATTTTCAAGTACGCAGATAGAAAGCATGATTGTAGGTGACTCCGCACGTTTTCAGCAACAACAATCTGATGTTGAAAATATTCTCTCCAAAGCAGTTCTTTGGAAAAGCAAGTGCTTTTCTCTCTCATTGCTGAAATCATTCACCTCTACCTCGAAGAGTCAGAAGAATCCGAGTTCATTTTTCAGTGGATATCTGCCAACAGTCACTTGTCATCATAAAATGCTCAGCAAATTTGGAACGTTTGCCTTTTGGTGCAAGAAACACATATAATTCCTCTTAAAGTTTGATGGCTCTTTTAAGTGCTCTGTCAAGAGATAACCCACAAACCTCTATGTGTTCAAAAGATTTTCAAAGTCACTTCCCTTCTGATTACAAATCATTGTCTATGTTTTACTGTGCTTTAAATTCTTTTTTTTTTTTTTTTTTTAAATTAACTACCCACACCAGTGCATCCTGTACTACTCTGTGTACTTCTGGACTTAAACCTTTCGACCGGTGGCCTATGGGAAGTTTTGTGGGGCATCGGTTTCACAGGCGTGGCCATCCCTGCACCCTTACCCAGAATCCTTTTCATCATGGAGCAGCCACTCCCTCGGCGATCACACCCAGTTTCTCCCATAACTGGTGTTTTCATTAAAGAAGTAACATACTGTTCAGTCAATATCGCCGCTTTCCATTAGTCTCTCACAGAAATGTGGTTCTTCATGTATTTTATGATCGAAACGGAATCTAGGAAAACCATGTGAGAAACGTCGGTACTTTCCTTCAACTATGTAGCCACCTTTCCACGGTGTGGAATTTTTCAACGCTTATTTCTCCACACCTTCAGCAATATTTCCCCCACATTTTCCGACAGGATCTGTGGTCACTACGTTGTGTTCTGTGCACTGTTCTTGCTACCACCGGCTTCCACACCAACTGCCTTCTTCCCAGCCTCTGGAAGACAAGGGCCCTGTGTGTGTGTGTGTGTGTGTGTGTGTGTGTGTGTAGATAACAGAGTCACGTGACATGGGCCTAAGAGAGAGTGCACTGGCTTCCTAGCAACCATCCCTTCTCCCAACTACTCCCAGCAAAGCCAAGCGTGGAGCTGGGCCCCCAGAGGAGGGAAGATTGCTATCCCATTCCCTGGTTGGATATATGCTTAGGCTCACTGCTCGCTGGTCGCTTGTCTCACCACAGGAAATGAGAACTGAAGCCGGGACTTCAGTTATGTCTGACGAGATTCTCACCGTTTCTACTACCAAAGAGAGAAGAACTTGTATTTTAAGCGGCCGAAGTTCTGGCCCTGACGTTTCCCGGTCGACCCCCGACACTTGCATTATAAACATTATCTTCAATTGTAGTTTCTTTGCAGGAATCTTGTTAAGCTGCCATTTGTGAGAGTTAATTGAGTTAAAATTTGGTCAAGCAATTTGTGAAGCCACTTAGCTACGTGACCTGGGACACATGGTGGGGTAGATGGCCCTTATCAGCACTCGTTTGAGGCCATCACAGTAAGCTTTCCGGGGGGGCGGGGCAGGGGGGCGGGGGTGAGAGGGTGGAGGGGCAGACACTGCAGGAGCTTGTTTGGAGGTTCTAGCAAGGTGGCCCGGATTCTCCCAGCCCCTGGCCACTCCTGGGACACTAACCCTGTCACCTAGGGACCTTATTTATGATGTCAATTCTTAGGGGTATTAGTTCACTAAGGCTGATGGGACAAAGTACCACAGTTATGGGGCTTAAACAACAGAAGCTTATTGTTCTGTTCTAGAGCCTTGAACAGTTCTAGACCCTTGCAAGTTCTAGAGCCTTGCAAGCTGAGATCAAGGTGTCTGCGGGGTTGGTTTCCTCAGAGGGCTGTGAGGAAGGATCCGCTCCATGCCTCTCTCCTAACTTCCGGTGGCATGCCAGCAGTCCTTGCTCGGCTCGTAGGTGCCTCACACCAATGTCTGCCTCCATCTGCACAGAGTGTTCTCCTGCACTGCGTGTCTCTGTGTCCCAAATTCCCCCTTTCAATAAGGACAGAAGTCATACTGGATTAGGGGCCCACCCTACCTCATACGCCCTCATCTTAACCAATTGTATCTACAAGACCCTGTTTCCAAACGAGGTGGCATTCTGAGGTACTAGGGGTTAAGACTTCAACATACAAATCTGGGGGAAGACACAATTCAGCCATGAAGCTGGGCTACACCGCAGACCTTCTAAAATAGGATCTATGGGGGGGGGTGGCTCGCACTTCATGTTTTTGATAAGGACCTTAAGTACCTTGTTTGCTCACTAAAGCTTGAGAGCTACATGGCCACCTGAGGTGACACAGAATGTTCTCTCTCCCACCTCAAATACAATAGGAGCACCAAATAAAACTAAACCATAGATGTTAATATGTAGCTTAGTTCAAAAGAAATGAAGAAATTTTCATGTGCCATAAAAGGAGAGATCAAAACCAGAGGGCTAAGCATTGGCTGTTGCTGGGAAAACCCTAAGGAGTGTTAGACAAGGATATAGGCCCCTAGAGGCAGTGGGGGGGTGGGAGGGGCTGCTGGGGCTCAAATGCCCTTGAGGGAGGTAATAGGCCCATCGGGTGCTTGAAACGGAGGAACTAATCATTTTGCATGAAGCTTGGAGACTTAGAAAGTTACCTTGTCAGTGAAAGTCAGTGAAAGGGGGACCAGAAAAATCAACCAGAGTTTGTTTCAACTAATTAAAAATTGGGCAGATTGGTCATTCATATCTGCTCTGTGAACTCACGGGATCAAATAGTTTTCTTAGCTGAGGTGCATCTAAGAAAAAGAATTTGGGTTGCTTGAGGGGACGCATGGGGGTCATTCTAGGATACTGCAGCAAAGTTGGGACCTGATAAGGCCTGCCAACAGGCAAGGAAAAGTTTAAAACAGGCAGGGCTAGGCATCTGAGCAACTGGGAGAATGAAGTCCTGGTAGGTGGGAATGAATTAGCATACTGAAAGCAGAGGAGGGTCCTAGAGAGGAATTTGCTGTGTTTCTGATAGACAGGTGAGGGCCAGGGAGGAATGAATCTGACATTGAAAGGCCTCCCCACCCCCTCCTCCTCTTTCACAGGTCAACCCTTTCAGAGATCGAATCTGCAAAGTGTTCTCCCACAACGATATGCTCTCCTTTGAGGATGTGCTGGGCATGGCATCTGTGTTCAGTGAGCAGGCCTGCCCCAGCCTGAAGATCGAGTATGCCTTTCGCATCTATGGTGGGTGACTAAGTGGTGGTGGTGGGTAGGGGTCAGTGCCATAGAGTAAATACCAATCTGGAATCCATTAACATCAATTCACCAGTGGGATGATGTCCATTGGGATTCACTTGGGTGTTTATGGGTATTAGCATGTTTCTTGAGTTCTGTAGATTAAAAAAAAAAATGGTGGTGAACTACTACTTCAGTGGATAGATGGCTTCCCCTCCATGCCATCAGAGGCAAATGGAGCCACGGGTGTTGTATTTTGTGGTAACAGTGTAGACAGGTGAGAGAGAGAGAGAGAGATGGAAGACTACATATGGGTATGAAGGAGCCATGCTTGTTTTGCAGAAATTGTGAAATTTGAACACCAGAACTAGCTCAGCCACAAAATGGCTGAGAAATCTTGGACAAATCATTTCATCTTTCTGGGCCTCAGTTTCATCATCTTTAAAATGAGGTGTTTGAGAGAGATCATCTCTGAGGTCTTATGACAGTTTTTGGTCTCTAGTTTTGCCTGGGGTAGCCATAAGATACTGCAAAAATTCTGCTCTTCAGGGGGCTCATGTCCCCTTAGCTGAGATGCCTGGAGTTCTCAAAAGAAATTAAAAGGAAAGAAACAAAGAAATCTTGGGAAGCCTTCAAACAGACCATGTACAAGGCTTTAAGCTCATTGTGACAACTCTTTGGCCCCAAAGGACTTGTACATTCAGGCTTGCATAGTTTGGCCTTTCATATGCTCTCCCTTCCAGCCAGGTCCTCCCTGTCCCTACACAGTGGACACCATCTTATTCTTGCCTTGCCCAAATGGACTGGGATAAAATGGAGTGGGGGAGTTTTAAGCCTGATGGACCTGTGAGGGCTCAGTTTTCTCATCTGTAAAAAGGACTTAATGGTATTTTTGTAAGCCCTATGTCCTCAAGCTTAGTATCCAGTAATAGCTGAGTAAGCGTCTATCATACTGTCATTTCCACAGAGAGCAACTACAAACTCAAATATATATGTATACTTGGGCCCCTGGGTGGCTCTGTCAGTTAAGTTTCTTCCTTTGGCTTTGATCATGATCCCAGGGTCCTGGGATTGAGACCTGAGTTGGGTTCCCTGCTCAGTGGGGAGTCTGCTTCTCCCTCTTCCTCTGCCCCTCCTTGGTTCATTCTCTCTTTCTCCAATAAATAAATAAAATCACATATACCATATGTGGTTTATATACATGATATTTATTTATCAGCAGCCTGATGGCACTAATGGTACCAGAAGCAGAGAGTTGAACTTAGAAGAAAGAAATGGTACTGAATGGTCCCCTCCTCCTTTTTACAAACTTTTTTAGCCTAAAGGTGGCTTTCAGTGAGGGACATCACACAGGACTGATAGAAACCTTGAACTCTTTCTGACTTAAAGAATCAGAGAGTTTGGGACAATTTCCTCCTGAAAAGTGAAAATAAGGGAGAGACTGTGAAAGAAAGCCAGAGAAGGGAGCCCAACATCTGTGTATGAACTATGCCCAGATCTCTAAACCATATATACAAGGGCAGACTCAAAGCAGCTGAGGTAGATAACAGAACTGAGATTTGAGTGGCCACTGCATTTTAACAAGTTCCCTCTGTGACAGGGTTTGCACTTTAAGTCCTGTCAATTGCCTGATAGAATTAAAATTAAAAAAAAAAAAAAATCAGCACTCTTTAGAGGAACATAACAGAATCCAGAGTTTTTACAATAAATCATTTATAACGTCTAAGGTACAATCCAAAATTATTCAATATACAAAAATTTTGGAAAACCAGAAATGTCTGATCTACAGTCTGAAACTATTCAATAGACAATTAAAAAATAAAACTGATATGGTCTCAAGAATGGAGCCTGACTCTGACATGACCCAGATGTTGGAATTAGCTGACAAGTCTCTTAAAACAGCTACTAACCCTTGGCCAGTGAAGTAAAAGAAATTCATAATGAAGGGAACAGTAGGAATTCTCCACAGAGAAACAGAAACTATAAGAAAGAATCAAATGGAAAATATGAAAGTGAAAAATAAAATATCTAAAATAAAAATTCATTGGATGGGCTTAACAGGAGAATTGAGATGACAGAGGAAAGAGTCAGAAACCTGAAGATAGTTCAGTATAAATAATCTAATCTGAAGAATGGAAGGAAAAGAATTAATGGGGAAGAAAAGATATTTGAAGAAGGAATGGCCCCACACATCCTACGTTTGATACAAGACACACATTTATAATGAACTTCAAGCAGAGTTAAGTACAAATGAAATCACATACCCAAATTTAATTGGCTTCGTGGTCCTCACCTGTTCATTAGTCGTCCTCCTTCCTTACCCCAAGTACTTCTGGGGATCCCCAGGGAGGTCTAGGACTTGTACCACAGAGCACTTGCTATTTTGCCCCCAGCCACTTCTGTCTCCTGTCAGTACCCTTCTGGATGGGCAGCTCTTCCCAAAGCAGAGTGCTGGCCCAGGCTCAGGGATCTCATCTTAGCCAAGAGTCTTCAGTTGGCCAGTAACAGGGACTTACCTGTGTAAAAGGCAACAGATGAAGAACAGCAATGTATTCATTTTCCATTGCTGTGTAATAAATTACCACAAATCTAGTGGATGTAGACAACATGTTTATAATCTCACAGTCTCCGTGGTCTAGGAGTCTGGCATAGCTTATATGTGTCCTCTCCCAGGATACCACAGGGCTGCAGTCAAGGCTCTGTCTGGGCTGCCTGTAACTGGGGAGAAATCCACTTACAAGCTCACTCTGGTTGTTGACAAGTGCATTTCTTTGTGTCTGTGGAGCTTAGAGCCCTGGCTTCCTGCTGGCTATCTGCTGGAGACTGCCTTCGGTTTCCAGAGGCTGACATATGCTCCTTGCCACATGGGCCTCCCCTGACACAGCCACTTGCTTCTTCAAAGACAGCCAGAGAGAGAGTCTCTTGGGTGTGTATGCTGGTAAGATAGAGTCTCATAACACTGTAATCACAGAAGTAACATCCCATCACTGTTGTCAAATTCTGCTGGTGAGATGTAAGTCACAGTTCCCTTCCACACAAAAGGGACATGGAGATTATATACGCATAAGCACCAAGAGGGGCAGATCTGGGGGGGAGGAGGGCTCTAAAGTTTGTCCATTGCAAGCAGCATGGAACCATGGGGAAACCGAAGCAGCTTCGCAAGGATGCAGGGGACAAGTGGTCAGGAAGTGAGGCAACTGCTGTCTGCTTTTCTCTCTATGGCTGCCGGATCTATCCTCTCTGCTTCTCTCTCTGCATTTGCTCTTCCTGCAGACTTTCCTGTTTCTGTGCCCATGGGCCAAAGAGGAACACCCTGGTCCCCTATTTACTCAGGAGAGGCTGATGGCTCAGCCAAACCCATGATCTTACTACTCCCTGGCTGGGTCAACAGCCTTGTCCAACCACCCACAGCCCAAAAGATGCAGAGTCACGGAACAGACATAGCTCCAGAGGCCCACTGCTGGGGGTGGGGACACTTCTCAGAGATGGTAAAGTGTGGGCTGAGCAGATGTTCCCAAAGATGTCTGCCTCAGCTGTCTTTCCATGGTTTCCCGAGCTAAACAAACAAAAACACCCCAACCTTCAGGGAAGCTATAAGAACAGCAGGTTCTCTTCAGGCTTCAAGGCACAGGGGCCAAACTGTGTTCGGCTGAGACATGAGAAGAATGTCCTCACTCCCAAGAGGTCAGACTGAGCGCCTGAGGTCCGGTAAGGGACCAGATAACCCCTGTCCCCCCATGCTGTCCTTGTGTCCTCCTCAAGCCCCTCTCTGCAGGCCCCCTTGACAGATTTCCTTCCTCCTTGAGCTCCAGCCCCCAAACATAAAGCACAAAGCCTTCATGCAAATCAGCTGTGCAAATAGACACCCGGGGACTCATAAACTCCAAGGCTTCCTCAGATACACCCAGACAAATCTGAATTCTCTTTGGGTTCAGAAGATTTGTTGCCTCACAGAGCTGTCAGCAGGATTAGGGACGGGATGCGTGACTCTCTGAGCACGGCGCTTGGCGCGTGGGAGCTGCTCAGTACATTGAGGTGGTAACGGTAGACGTGAGGGCAGAAGAGGAGGAAGAGAAAGGAAAAGAAAATGGTGATGGCCCTGGTGATCCTTCTTCGGCAAAGTCCAGAGACTTAACTCGATGCTCGAATGCCTTGGTCCTCCGCGCGTAGTCCATGCACCAGCAGTGACATTGCCAGGAAGCCGGTCAGGAATGCGGAATCTCCAGCACCCCCCCAACAGGCCGCTTCAGGGTCCGCACGTTAACAAGACCCCCAGCTGGGTCCTCCACATCCTAACATTTGGGAGACATTGCTCTAACTCACTGGTCCTCAAACGGGACTGCACACTGCAGTCATCTGGGGACCCAGGACCCACGGATGCTTGGGCCCCCACTGTGCAGGTCTGATGTAGGGGTGCTGGGTGGGCCCCGGCTGGTGGGGGCTTTTTCAAAGCTCCCCGGGGAATTCTCAAGTGCAGTGGAGTTTCGGAGCTACTGTGCCGGTTCGGCTTCCATTCAGTCGTATGGAAGTGCCCATGTTTTTAAAAAGAGAGAGAAAAAACCTGGAATTAGGCTCTGCAGAGCCAGGGAGAAGTAGACGACGGTCTGCCCCCTTCAAGCCCCCTGATCTGCCACCTGTAGTATGGGACTGTGGTTCTTAGCATCACAAGACGATTTCTGTGCCTATAGGCTTCTCATCTTCATCCAGGCAGGAGGAAGAAAGGATGGGAGGAGGGATAGGAACCAAATGAACGTTTGAAGGCACCGCTGAAGTTGACTCTTCAACTTCATCTTGTTAACAAGCTTTCTTGGATACCCCACCCAGCAGCTTTGGAGGGCTTTGTCCGGAACTATGTCACGTGGCCACAGATAGCTGCAAGGGAGACTGGAAAGCTGGGTTTTAAGTTGAATAGGGTGTCACCCTGGACAGGAATTGCACTGCTGCTAGTAGGAAGGCGAAGGGGGAGGGGATGGTTATCTGTCAAGAATCCAGCACTGGGGATGTACCTGCTAGGTTCCAGTTTCTGCTTTGAGGGACGTTCCCGGCCTCCAACGGATTCATCCCCACCCCTCTCTGGAGGGACTTGCACCTGTCAGAGACCGACCGATACCCCAGGCCCTGCCTTCCTGCTCCAATCAGCCAACTGCCACCAGATGTGAATGACCTTCAGGCAGGGGCCAGAGCGCCCCCGGGGAGAACTTGCCACACCGCCCCAAGACCTGACCCGGGACTGAGGGCTGGGAGAGGCACGGGAGGCAGGCTCCGTTCTCCTAGAAATGATGGTGAGAAGCGTGCCTTTCGTCACTCAGACAACATGGGCTGATTTCTGTAAAATGACTTCGTAAATTGCAAGGAGTCACATGACAGGGAGGTTGGGATGATGATGGCAAGAATGTTCTGGAGCCCCGATTCTCCAAGCTTTCTCTAACCTTCCTGTTGTCGGGGAAACAGCAAGAGGTAGGCCCTCCCCCACTCTCAGAACAGCCCCAAGACTGCAGGTCTGAGACTGCTGAGGCTGCAGGGGCTGGCCAGCTGCCCAGAGCTCCCAGCCCCCACTCCTTTCCCAGTCGGCTGTGCCCTTGCACCCCCAAAGGAGGGGAACTGTCCAGGACTACATTCTACTCCAGCAAATTATTCTGTCTTCAGATGGCCTGGGACCAAAGCCATGTCACTTTGCTGCAGTCTTCGCATACGGGAGCTGGGCCAGCAGGATGCCTGGGGACACTGCGGGGTCTCGGGGAGAGGCTGTGGAGCCTCTTACCAGCAGTGCAATGTCACTGCGGCTGCCCCCTCCCTCTAGTCCCGGTGCTGGTCCCTCCGCCCCTCCACCTGCTCCCAGCCCTCACCCACAATGTGAGATAGCAAAGCTGTGCAGGGAGAGTCTTGGAGGAACGTCTCAGGCCTTAGCCTCCAGGTCCTGGGGCTGATAAACAGTTGGTCAGGGGAGAGCCACCTGCTTAAGGAATGGGGTGCTGAGTTAGACTTTCTGCCTCCATATCCTATCTGGGGGAACAGAGGCAAAGTTCTGGGCTCTACCCCTGTAGGATTCAGTGACCTCAGTACACCTGCTCCTCCATTCCAGGGCCAACATAGCTCTGGATTCCATTCTTCAAAGCGAGAGATTACACAGTTTCCAAGGTTGGCATTTTCAGTATTTAATATCCTCTAGTGACACAGAATTGAGCTTCTACTCTACCTAATGAACGTCTTCTGTAGCGAGCATCTTCTATGTTCCAAGCCCCATGCCAGACGACTTCCATGCATTTCCTTATTCAATTTTCACAGCAACACTCTGGAGATGCTATTATCTATTTTATGGATGAGGAAACAGAGGCTCAGATCATGTATTAGTTCGGGTTAAATTTGGTGGCAAATGGCAGGGGACCCCCAGGGGTTTACACAAGATGGCTTCCAAGATTTCCAGCAGCGACGTGTTATTTCTCTAACATGTAGAATCCCAGAGGCAGTTGTCCTCAGTGGTTCTGCAATGGCCGGGATGTAGGTTCCTCCTTGATGTCACCTTATCCTCCATTCCCAAGGTGGCCTCAAGGTCACGAAGAAGGTATAGCCTTCTCTTTAAAGACATTCCCGGAAGTTTGCTGGTGCCTCTTTCTCTTATATCTCACTGGCGAGATCTCAAATATGGGGTCACATCGAGCAGCAAGGGAGGCTGGGAAATGTAGTGTAGTGTTCATTTTAGATGGTCATGAACCCAGCTGAAAATTGGCTGCTTCATTATAATATGAACAGTTATGAGTGATTCAGAGCACAGACTGCCCACAGAGCTGGACTACCTGGGTTTACCACTGTCTCCATCATTTATCAACGTGTGACTTTGGATAGTTCACGCGTTCACTGACTCAACAAATATTCAGTGAGTGCTTACTCTGTTCCAGGTACTGTTCTAGGAGCTGGGGATGCAATAGTGACCCAAAACACTAAGCTTTCTGCCCTTGAGGAATTTACATTTTAGCGGAGAGAAATAAAGGAGCTAATGGGTAAAACATACAGTGTGTCAGGTAGTATGGGGCGCTAGGAGAAAAATAAAGCAGGGAATGGGATAGAAAGTGCAATTTTAGGCATGTTCTGGTAAGAAGCTGGCATTTAAGTGGGTGGGTGTTCCAGGGAGGGGAAGCACAGTGCAAAGGCCCTGAGGCAGGATCATGCGGAGGTCATCAGGCTGGGTCCACTGTCTCTCCAAGGGGAGCAGGGAGGGTCTGCTGACATCTTAGCCATGGGGAGCAAGGCAAGGACATAGTCAAGGATGATTCCAAGCTTATTGGCCATTACCCATTTGCCAAGAAGGGGACAGCTGAGTGCAACAGGTTTGGGGCCAGGGAGGAGGGGGGTACGGCAAGAGTTTGGGTTTCGACCTCTTGAACTTGAGGGACCTATCAGACCTCCAAGTGGAGAGGACAAGAAGGCCTGTGGATGGGTATGCTCCTGGAGTTCAGGAGAAGCCCAGGTTGGACACAGATATTTAAAGGCAAGAGGCTGAACTGAGACTGAGAAAGTGGGGACGGTTATTCAATCTCGGTGCGCCTCACTGTCTTCGTCTGTGTTATGAGGACTAAATGCAGTAGAAGAGAAAGCACTTAGATCATTGCTGGGCACATCTGCTTGTCGTGGGGGCGTTGTACCTGCCTAAGCTTACTGCCCTTACTTACTGCATGGCTGATGAGCAGTGTGGGGGCTGTGCTGGGGGTTCTAGAAGAGACAGGGGCCGCACTGGGGATTCTAGAAGAGGCAGGGGCCGCACTGGGGATTCTAGAAGAGGCAGGGGCCATGCTGGGGGTTCTAGAAGAGGCAGGGGCCATGCTGGGGGTTCTAGAAGAGGCAGAGGCTGCACTGGGGATTCTAGAAGAGGCAGGGACCATGCTGGGGGTTCTAGAAGAGGCAGGGGCTGCGCTGGGAGTTCTAGAAGAGGCAGGGGCCATGCTGGGGGTTCTAGAAGAGGCAGGGGTTGCACTGGGGGTTCTAGAAGAGGTAGGGGCCATGCTGAGGTTCCCAGAGGCAGCAGGGGCATTCTCCCAGAGAGCCTCCCTCGGCATCCATGGCTCTATGTAGTTCAGCCCGCCTTCCACACTTAACCTCGGTCTCACTCTCCCAGACCTCCAAGCCACTGTTCCCCACACCCCAGACTAATCACTCTCGTGCTGTTCCTTCTCCACCACTATCCCTAGTGACCCTGGCACCTCCTCTGGTTTCCATCTCCGGAGGCCCAAACCCTTTAATCCTTCTCTGACGCCTCTTCCTCCAAGAAGTCTTCCTCATTCACACCCCCAATTCCAATCAGACATGAACTTGCCCATCTGGAAACCCTTGGAACCCTTGGGAGGCCTGTTCCTTTCTCTCTGGAGCCAAGCTACTCAGGTGCCCAGCAGTCTCCCCCGGCACCTCCAGACTGGGAGCTCCATGCAGACTGGTACCAGTCTGGTCCATCTGTGCCCTGAGGTCTGGCTCAGGGAAGGGCACCCAGCAGGCACCCATGTGTCTGCTGAGAGCGAATGGTGAGGCGGTGGCGAGAAGCAGATGCAGTTACAGGGAAACAAGGCAGCCCTAGGCCCCTGGTGCCGAGGAGAGCAAGGCTCATGCCAGGAGGACAGGTCCCGTGTTAGAAGCTGCTGGAGCGCGAGGAAGGAACCATCCTGGGCCTGAGGGTGTCAGGGAGACTTCACAGGGAGGCACGGGAGAGTGAGCACAGGGTGAAGTCAGAGCATCCCAGGGCTTGGAGGAAAAGGAGCGGGCACTCCGGGCATGGGGCTGCCTTCTGCAAAGGCTGGGGGTAGAAGCACTCAAGGCCAGTAGAGAAGACTTGCCACAGGCACTGACAGGCCCAAGGATACCCTTTCCAAGGCTCCTCTGTAGGGAACTGGGTTAAACACACCTGGCGGCGGGGAGGGGGGTCCAGTGTGGACGGGGCTTGTGTAATGCCTATATTTTGTTGTTGTTGACATACAGTGTTCTAGTAGTTTCATAGGAATGACCATATTTTTTAACTCAAAAAGGAGGACCCTTCAAGGTCTGACAAGGGTCAGGGCACTCGCTGGAGTGGACACCAGGGCACTGTCCTCAGTGCGAGTGGGGGAGGTGCTCAGGTCACCCTGCTCAGGGCCAAGAGCAGGGATCTGTGCTCAGGTCCAGGCGTCTGTCTGCTCCTCCGTGCCCCCCGCTCCAGGCCACCAAACCGCCTAGTTGCTTATGTGATCTGAGGTGGAGATTTCCCTAGCGCGGTGGGTGACGCGGGTTTGGGAACCAGCCTAGCTGGGTCCGCATCCCACCTTCCGCTTACCAGCAGTGTGGGCCAACATCTCACACCTCCAGGCCTCAGTGTCCTTTTGGCAAAGTGAGACTCATAAAAGGTCAGTTGTGAAGATTCAGTGACTGAAACCAGGTGGGCTCCAGGCCCGCCTGGGACAGGGGTGGGGGGTGGGTTCTGTGGGGCATGGCCCCCTGGCCCGAGGGAGGCTGAGGAAGCCCCCCTTCCTCTCTCACTTGGCCTCCTCTTCACAGACTTTAACGAGAATGGCTTCATCGACGAGGAGGACCTGCAGAGGATTGTACTCCGACTGCTCAACAGTGACGACGTGTCCGAGGACCTGCTGGCTGACCTCACGAGCCACGTGTGTGCCCGGAGCCACACGGGCTGGGTTGGGCCGGGCCATCCCACAAAGCCCCCGGGTGGCAGGCAGGGTGGGGGTGCCCTGACGGATGGGCACATGGCTGGAGGCAACTATCTTCCAAGTTTCTGTCTTTCCTCCAAGGTCCATCCTTCCAGGGTCCCCAAGAGCAGGTGTCCAAGCCATCTGCTCCAAGGGCCCCTCCCACCCACATGGCGGTCACTGAGGGCAGGTGGCCTGACAGCAGCTTAGCCTCAGAGGGCACATCCCCATGTCCCCTAACCCATGTTATCCATGGGAAACTTCAAGTGCTTGAGGTCTGGATTGACACTAGAAGCAAAGATAAAACTGTGGGAGGTCATCACTGCCTCCTTGAACTGACCGGGCTCCTTGCAGTACGAGCCCCTGCCTGTGATTAGATACAGGTGTGGGTGGGGGGGTGTCATCCCTTTCACCTCCACACCCATTTTCACTGCCTAGTTTGTGCTGGAGGCATGAAGGACACTCTTCCCATGATGAGACCAGCCCACGAGGCTCCAGACCTCAGTGCACATGACCTTATCTCTGCATCTCCATGTCTTTGTCTGGGGTGGGGAGTAGCGAGGGGGGTGGGGAGAACATCTGCCTTACTCCCCCCCCCCCCAGGGTGGTTGGGGGACTCACATGCTAGTGAAGCACCTAGCAAGAGCCTGGCCTATAGTAACACTCGGCATGAGAAGTTCTCCCCTCTGCCTGCGACCCTGTGTCATTTTTTCATAGCGGGCTCCTCTCTGCTCTCTGGCTTTTTCTGCACCCCTGGCCAGGTCCTAAGTGAGTCAGATCTGGACAACGACAACATGCTATCTTTCTCGGAGTTTGAACATGCGATGGCCAAGTCTCCAGACTTCATGAAGTAAGGTGTTCTGGATTGGGGGTGGGGGGAGAGCAAGTGCCCACCACAGTTGGGGGCGGGGGCAGGAAGAGCCAATAAAGCCCCCCAGTCTTCCTAAGGAGGTCATGAGTCTCCAGGGTACTTTGCCGATGCTTTCAGAATCAGCAAACCTGGAGCTTTGGAGAAATTAGGTAACCGAAATTTCTAACCTTTAGAAAGAGGGAGTGGGGCTTAACCAGCAAAGGCAAGATGACATTCCAGGCTCTGCAAATGACGTGGGTGGCCCAGACTTCAGATGCTGGCTATCTAGACGTGGCACACAGGGGTCTTCCCCTAGGCCCAGGGGGCTCCAGGACTGACCGGCGAGTGGCCTTTGCTCCCCTGCCCCCACAACTCCAGAGGTCCCCGGGAGTTGGGGATTTGCATGGGTGTGTGAAAATGCTGGTCACAGAGTATTTCCAAACCTTGTTTCATGCAGAAGGGGCATTAAATTGTCTTCTATCTTCGTACAGACACCCTAGAGATGACTGGCCATCTCCATATTGCCCCAGCCATGTTTAATGGTTTTGTTTGGATCCTTCCAGTTATGGGGAAAGCACACCACCCCACCCCACCCCAAGAGGCAGCCCATTCATGATCCAACAGCCCTGTTAGAAGGCCCTTCTTGGGTGCAGTGGACCTCTGTTTGCCGGTGTCTGCTGCTCCTGGGCCCTCTTCTGCCCTTGGTCTCATAGTCTCGGTGAATTTGATAGCAAAGCATGGCTGCCATGATGGTTTAACCAACCAATCAGAAAAAGAACAAAGCGCTAGACCTCAGAGAGTACCTGGTCAGGAACGGAAAATGGTTCATTCTCTCTCTTCTCCGTACCCAGAGCCTCTGCCTCTCTCCTCATTTCCTCTGCACTCAGCTCAGCCTGCAGACAGGAAATCTCTCCCTTGTCAGACAGGAGGCCAGTTATGGCCTCCCGGCAGATGTCGGTCACTCCTAGTAGTATCTCTCAGCTCTGACTCCAGATTGGGTCAGCTGTTCACCCCTCTTCTAATTGCGTGGCGGGAGGAGAGGGCTCTCCAGGCCGTCCTGGCCGCTGTGGGACCTATGTGTGGGCATACCCTCTGACAGACAGTCCACACTTAGAACCACCCCAACTAAGGGTAATTCCTCTTCTTCCAGAACAACCCAGCACATAACAGAGACCAGAATCCTGTCCTCCTTGTCTTTTTCTTTGCATCTCTCCAATTTCTTTCCATTGGTTTTTGGCACCACGAGGTTCTGACACCCTTTGCTTTCTGGTGATGCTAAAAGGAGCAGAAGGCTTTGGGAGGGTTTGCAATAGCTGCAAACTGGCCATGACAGAGAGAGAGGGACAAGAGGGTGCCACCAGGACCACTATGAATCTGGAAATTGGAGGGCACTTTAGATCTGTAGCTCAGGGTGGCTTCGTGGGATGCTTTCTCTCAGCTCCTTTCGGATTCACTTCTGGGGATTTTGATGTGGCCATACCTGATCTGGCGGCTTCACGGAGACACTGGAACTTGGAATTCAACCCCCTCCGGGCATTGGGAGACTCTGGTCAGAAGTATGACGTGGTCCCCATCCTTCCCTCACTTGTAGACCATTGTTTATTCAATAAAGCAAAACAAAACCTTTCCCTTGCCCCGCCAGTTCATTTTTTGAATACAGGATCACTAATTTTTATTAAGCACTGCTCGTTCCGGGGCTTAAGTTTGCCAATGACGTCAAGCTAGCTGGGACGACCAGACTTTTTGAGGACAGGGTCCAAATCCCAACCGCCTCACAGCAGGGAAAAGGCCAAATGGGATGAAGTTTATGCAGAAAACCCACAACATTCCATTCTTCCCCTGGAGCTACCTCCCAGCGTCTCTCCTGCCGACTGCACAGAGTCGTGTTGGGCAGTGGTCATTCCAGCTGGTGCCTGGCTTCCCAGTCCTTGTCATGGGAGAAGACATCGAGGATCCACTTCGCACCCCCAGGCCCCAGGATGCAACATGTGGACCAGCAATTGGGGGTTATTTGCTTTGCTCTTCAGCCAAATCCTGGAATGAATTTGGCCACCACAGGGACCCTTGGGGACCCAGGTGGTCAAGGAGTCTGGGACACAGGAGAAGCCCCTTATAGGGTCCCTGAGAGCTGACAGATGCCCCTCTGATGGGCACACAGTTTTTCTGGTTTACATCGTCCTCCGGGAAGGTGTCTAAACACTGGATCCCAGGGGAGGGGCTGTTTCGCTGAGACATGTACTTGAACCTGCAGTGGTCTCTTTGCCTTCAGGTCCTGACTCACCCATTCAAGATGTAATAAATTTCCCATTGATGGATGGAGTCCCTTGATCAAATCTAAGAGATGCTGGAATGTTAGAGAAAACCTGTCATGTGGATACACACCTGGCCTGAGGTCCCCATCCCAGATCCTGTGTATGGAGGGGCTGTCCCCCACATCCTGTCCCCTGCCACGGAGAAGTGGGAAGAGCAGCCTGGTGAGAGCAGACACTCCAGACTCCCCACTGCAGGCATGTGACTGGGGAACCTGTTCTCCCCATTTCCTTGAAGAATGGCTCAGTCCTGGGCCACCCCCTCCCATCCTATTCTAGAAATAGTCCCCAGGAGAGACACCCCAGCAGCCTGTCCGTGCCTGTCTGGGAAGAATGCAGAGAGAGGTTGCCGGACGCAGCTTTTTCTCTCAGGCACCACGGGGGCTTCTAGGCTGCGTCATCCCCACTTCCCATGTCTCCACATGGACCACAGGCAGGTTATGTAGTGGGCAAACGAGGGCTTGGGTCCAAACACTGGGTCTCTTCTAAGCTGTGGGAGCTTGGGCGATATTCTCAACCTCCGAGACTCTGCGTCCTGATCAATAAAGTGGGGATAACGCCACCTCCCTCACAAGCGAGTGTGTGGACTGAATGATGCCAAGTCAGGGCTCAAACTGGAATTCCTTTGTATCTGATCCCAGTGCAATTGCTCTGCAGTCATTTTACCTTCATTCTCGGACATGCAATCTTGGGGCTTCCTCAATTACACTGGTGGAAGCAGATGGGAGGTATCTCTGTCCTGGAGTGACCTGCCACCAAGGCTTGGGAGCCCTACAGTTCTTGGTCCTACCAGCCCCCACCTCGGGGGAGGGGTGGTAGGGGGCCAGTAGGTCAAGGGACACTGCTTTCCACTGGCATGAACCCCTGAGCTGAGCTTTCCACAGTCCTTAAGACTCAGTGCTGTGTGACCCTCGGGCGTGTTCTTGCTGTAGCCAAATGTCCCTGGGGCTCAGAGGAGAAGACCATGGGTTTGGTCGTGGCTAAAGATTTTATTCCAAAAAGCCAATCTCGTCAGAGCCAGGCTCCCGGGCATCACGCTCTAAACTCAAAGTAGAGATCTCTCTTCTGCCGTTCCTGTGGGGAGACCCTCTTCCCCGAGGGGAACGTCTGGTAGGTCTTCATGTTTTCAGGGGATGCTCTTAGAAGGTGCCACTTCTTCTCTGGGGTCAGAGGAGGACTGGGGGCAAGGATGGAGCCAGCATTAGGCAGTGAGCCTGCAAGGGGAAGGATGCCCAACCGCGGCCCTGTGTGCCCAGTGTTCTAGCCCATCCTGACCATGCTGACTGCTCATCAGCCCAACATCTGATAAGCCCCCCTGCAGGTGAGATCAGAATAACTGGTATTTGCATGATGGTATAGTGGTTCAGAGAGAGAACGTGGGCGTCAGACAGAACATGGGTGTCAGATTCTGGCTTAGCTCCTGCTGGAAGTGGACCCATATAAAATGGACTAATGTGAGTACATCTGTCTCAGCTTTGTTTTGAGGAGTAAATGAGATAACGCTTATAAAGCACTTCAGTAACCCTGGACAAGGAGGAAACACTCAACAAACATTATAAGAAATGGTGATGATGGTGATGATGGTGGTGATGGTGATGGTGGTAATGGTGATGGTGGTGATGGTGGTGATGGTGATGGTGATGGTGATGATGATGGTGATGGTGGTGATGGTGATGGTGGTGATGGTGATGGTGATGGTGATGGTGGTAATGGTGATGGTGGTGATGGTGGTAATGGTGATGGTGGTGATGGTGGTAATGGTGATGATGGTGATGGTGATGATGACGGTGATGGTAATGGTGGGGATGGTGGGGATGGTGGTGATGGTGATACTGGTGATGGTGGCGTGATGGTGATGATGGTGTTGAAACTCAGGAAAGGGCAGGGATTTTCCCCAAGCCACAGTGGTGATCAGGAAAAGGTCTGAGCGCAGACACTGACCCTCCTACTCCCATTGACCTGGTTGGCCCTGTGTGTTGTGCGAAGCCATCAGCTGCATATGCCACCAGATAATTTGGAGAAGTGGGGGCTGGGGCACCCTAGGCTCCCCACAGCCTTAGGGGGTGCAGGTCCTACCCAGAGTGATCTCAAAAGAAAATATGGCCCAGGAGAGGCCCCACCCTGCCTCCAAGTTTGGTCTGACTCAGAGCCACCCAAGGGGTGAAGATGATCAACTCAGAGTCCTAGAGTTGGTGTCAGGAGATCTCAGTTTCTCCAGGTTCTGCCTCCAACCAGATTTTCTACGCGGCAAAGTTTCTGAGGCCATCACTAAGCCTGTTTCCCTATCTATAAAATGGGCCCATCTATGTTACAGAGATAACATACAGAGATAGGTAAATTTGTATCTTTAAAACCCATTAATCTCAATGGAAAGTGTTCCTGCCTTATCCATGATGATGGTGACGAGGCTTGAGGCTCTTGATGCAAGCAAAGGGTCAGCATGTAATTGGAAACCCAAGATCTTCCAGATGACCACCTGATGCTTCCTTCCCACATGACACCTTGGCAGCATAGACTTTTGATTTCCATGCCTTGGTGTCAGGAGGGAGCGCAAGGCAAACATGTGTCTGGATTATCTCACAGAGCAGAGAGGGTCTTCGCTGGGAAGAGCAACTCGCCCGGATAAAAGTGAGATTCAGGCAGTGGGGAACTTTCAGATTTCGTTAGATGGACAGCTGGACTTTGAAAGCTATTTTGTAGTCCAGAGGAGAACATTTTCTGAGCCTGGTCCGGGTTGGTGGGGGGTCGGGGGAGGGTGTGGTACCAATTCCAGGCTCTGTGTAGTGCCCTCTGTGTCCGCCAGAGGGCAGCAGTTCCTTGTTGCTCAGAGCAGCTGTGCCCACGTTTGGACTAGTGTAGCTGCAAGGCTGCCCATACCTGGACCCCTTGCTGTGTGACTATCATCCTCTGCACCATAGGCTCCTTAGGGCCAGTTCTTAGCTCATTTCTCACTCTGAGTGGCTGCATGCCTGGCAGGTGCCTACGGACATGTGTTTGTAGAACGCGTGAATGAAGGGAAGGCAGGCACTCACAGGTCGGTGGGGAGGGGGTACCGTTCCCACTCCTTCACAGGCAGCACGAAGTAGGGGACCCGGGGCACCATGCCCGTCTTGTCTAGATAGAACTTCCGATGCTGTTGTGCCACCTACAGCTCGACCCAAGGAAGAGACGAGAGGCTATTAGTGTTAGAGGAGCAACCTGGGGCCTCCTGCCATTCCTGCCTGCCTATACCTGGGCAAGGGGCGGGGGGCTGCCTCCCCTAATGCCCCTGTTGGAGTTCCCAGCTAGGTGTCCTCTCTGAGACCAGCTCCCCGTCTGTCTAATGGGGATAATGGCCCACACCACACCAGCTTTGCTAGGGAGAGTAAACGAGACAAGCGACCAGCAGAAGGAAGGTATGTGAATCCTGCCTGAGCAGGTGACACAGTTTGTTTCTGCCTCTCCCCGCCCCCCATGATTGAGACCAAAGGTCTTTCTGTGTCCATTGACATGGTTCCCCAGCCCCCAGATGTCTCACAACATTGACCCAATCCTCTCCCTGGAGAGGCTGCCTTCTCACACAGTTCTCTGTCCTGAGGACCAGGAGGTACCCGTGTCCTTGAACTCGGGCTGGAGGGTTGTTTGCAAGAGACTGGGGGGGGGGGGGATTTCTAGGAACACAGCAGAAAATGAGCCCTGGCCCCTGTGAGCTGGGCGAGCACATCAGTGGTCAGTGCCTGTGTCCACAAGGATGTGTCTGAACCAGACTCAGAGGAGGCTTTAAGAGCCACAGGGCCAGGACCAGAACACCAGGAGCCAGGCAGCTAGTGTTTGGGGCTGGGGTTGACTCCGGGGTACATCCTCAGAAATCTGGGAGACAGAGAGGCATTGGGTGGGCACTAGGACCCAGGTGGGCAAGTACAGTCCGGGCAGGGGGCTTAGTGGGCCGTTTGTCTGTGTTGGGTGGGCTCAACCTGAAGGTGAATCTTTGGCCTTTTACTCTAGTAGGAAGTAAGCAACAGTCCACTGGGCTATGGGGCAGAGGGGAGGGCGGGCACATCCCCAAAGGCTCCAGCTCTCCCGGCAGTGGGGTGAGCAAGGGCAAGGGTCCTTGCCAGCTCAGGGGCTCAGAAAAAGGAAACAAAGTCACTCTTTGAGGGTGCTAGGTCTCCTCTGGCCCC